CTTTAAATAACGACAACAAATGCGTCCTATATGGCAGCAGATTAATATTCAATTTCAGCCTCACCGTTCTCTGATACATATCTACAGTTATACCGTAATACAAAACTATCGCCTTCACTGTTGGCATCCGTCTCCGTTCCTTCTTTGCTAACCGTACTGTTCCTTCTCATCCTTCTCATAACGTTAGAATAAAATGTAGGTAATAATTTATGTCCATGAATGAAGTTATGTCAAGACTTTTTCATTATTCTGTTTATATATCTGCGGTGTTCTCGCAATTCTTGTTAATATACACATTCAACTTTTCCCTATCTTTAACATAACAGTGTTTAACTAATCGTCTGAACTTTTTATTGCTTTTAAAGATCTCTCTCTCTCTCTCTCTCTCTCTCTCTCTCTCTCTCTCTCTCTCTCTCTCTCTCTCTCTCTCCCTCTCTCTCTCTCTCTCCCCTATCGCCTCATTTGAAGACAGATTACATGGAAGAAGACATAACATGTTTTGCCTAATTAGTCAGTACTGTTATGCTACTTTGATATACTGTAATAGCCTTATCATAAAGAATATAAACAATACGTACTGGCAAGTAAACATCTACTAAAGCAATCATCAATTGATTAGGACAATTTAAAAAAAAGGCGAAGACACAAAGAAACAGAACCTTCCATCTCCATCGACACTGGAAGCAGGAAAAGAATAAAAATATTTCAAACCTGACAAAGAGAAATCAACATTTTTGGACACGTTATGAGAAGTCAGAAAGTGGAAAATGTGACACGTGAAAAGATATATATGCGCACACACACACGCACACACCACACACACACACATACACACTCACACACACATACATTTTGTCTGTGTCTAATTAGACTTGTTATAGCACACTCATATAAAATATTTACAGAAAAAAATGCACATTGACGACAAATATCAAACAATAACACAGGCATCACCTTCAGTGGCGCAGTAATACACAAACATCTCTCTAGCGTGATAAAGGCAGTCACCCAGCTGGTTATTCTTGCAAAAATAACGTGCAGCCACCCAGTTGTTAAATACTGTAGCTGCCATGGGATAAAGGGTAGATCTAAATTGTTAAATGCTGGATTGAAGCAGATATTGGTCCATATCAGACTTGCCACGCAGAATAAGTCAGACACTGCTAAACCTGTAGTGATATTTGAGAAACAACAATTTACGATAAAAAACCTAGCTTTCGTACCTTCTATTAAAACTCACCTGAAGACTCAAAAAGAAAGGCAATCGAGGGAAAACAAGAAAAGGTCACTTTAGGGCTTCTATAAATTGGTGCCGATTAAAAAAAGTGTATCTTAGCTGTAGTGGAGTATAAATGGAAGAAATTAAATATTACTATTTACTTCATTCTCAACGTTTTGTCAAATTATCTCTCCCGCATTATTCTGTATTTTTTGCCTATTTGAGGTATTTAAATATATAATGAATGCCACTGGGTTGCCTTTTAAGAGTCATACAGCATAAACTTCAAATGTAACTAATCTATATTTCACAAAAACATTTAACAACAGTGTGTGTGTGTGTGGGGGGGGGGAGGGTGAGGGGCAAAGGTGTGGTCAATGCAATGCCATATTCAAAACGAAACTTTGTAGAGATGAAGAGGATAAGATTCAGATCGAGAAAGATATGGAAAAATAATTTGTCTGATGAAATGTACCTAAAATATTCGAGCAACAAGTTCTTTGCATCTAACTGGTGGAAATGGAGGGAACTAATCAGATGACTACACTAATGTGTGAACAGGTAATCGCAGTGTTAAGCGACAATGACGATAACGATGTTTATGTTTTAATATTTACATACTTTCATCACAACAATAATGAGAAAATATTGTTGGAAAACAAATAACCTAAAAAATCGGAATTCTCTTCCTCGGATCTATGCCTTGAACTTTTTAATAATATTTTTTAGAGAACTTCATACTGTATTACTGCATTTAATAACTTGAAGATATTATGCACACGGATGTGTTTAGTACGCATGTACATTCAATAAAACAACAGTGATTGCGGACTCGGAGTATATATTGAGGTATCTGTCAAAACTAACGAATCTCGAAATAGAAGACTTCTAGAAGAAATGGAGGAAACTCAAAACCATTCACCATAAAATCTGGAACGTGACAAGGCTGTGTTCTATATCCCCTTCTCTTCAAAACTAACACTGTTAACATATGTAAAGAAACCAACCAAACAAGGACTATAATACACCAAGGAGAAGAAGATCCAAAGCCAAACAGTTTCACCAAAGCACTACTATGTGTTACCTACCAAGCACTAATTGATGCTTCAGTCACTGAACTGCAAGACCATATAAAAGATTTAAATCAAATTTGCAAAGAGCATAACATGAAAACCACCGCTAACAAAACATATTTCATCATCATAGCGAAAGTAGACAGTTAACAGATCAACCATGTGGAACAAACCAGAAGTTTCAAATACTTGAGAAGTGTAATATCAACAACTGGCAAAACAATAAGTGATATCAATGGCATGTGTAAAAGAGCAACCCAACTCACTGGGCAAATGGCACCAATATTGAGAAACAAATATGTGTCAGTAAAAACCAGCAGAGCACTAGATGCCACAGTCGGCTTTCCAGCCCTGTCGTGTAATGTGCTAGAGACAAAAAAAATCATAACGAGTGACTTCAAATTCCTGCGGAGTTCTCTTGATATAACAAGAAAAAACACGATTTGAAACGGAAGCAGACAACTGGTGAAATGGTTTGACCATGTAAAACCAATGTCAACAAATAGGAAACCACATCAAGGAATGATGTACGGACCAGGCGGGAAGTGAAGAAGAGATTGACCATGCAAGTAATAGATAGGGTGAAGTACAGTCTCTAGGAATCCCTCTTTACAAAGCACAAACGAGCACTTATCCGTAAATTGTACTTCACCTCGACACCGCATGGTACCAGAGACATGAAGTTAAACAGAAGCAACTCAATAGTTTAAAAGCCCCGGTGACTTCACTTGGTTGCTACTGATGATGTTAGTACAATTCTTAAGTAGCTATTTAAAAAAAACAGCACATGAAGATAAGGAACTGGATTCACAGATACACACTTCGTGCTTGCTGGTAATTTTCCTGCGGACTGAGAAGCTTCCAGTCACGGTTAGTGTGTCAAGGGTTGAAAAGAAGGCCAGGATACCGTCCATTAATCATGTCTCAGATCTATTATGGCTCGCCGTCTCAAACGGATTACTAGGTTGGTGTTCTTGTCTCGTTCAAACCATGCTGCTAGTGCAGACATTTATCCAGGTGTCATTCTCTTGCTCATTTTTCATCAGCTATGCCCACTTATACTAAGATTTAAAGGTGTGTCCCCTAACGCAAAGCCACAAAATGAAGATTCCAAACGTATGTCACGGGACTTCTCCCCTTGTACCCGTTGCTGTGGCCCAGAATGGTGAAATGGAGAGGAAAGAAAAAAGCTCTCAGCTAACAGTGTCTGTCATATCCCCCCTCCTCTCCCCTCGACAAAGTCATATCTCCCTCTCCGAAGGATTGAAAAATCATCAATCGCGAAATTATTAAAATCGAAATAGTTAAGAAATGAGAACTTCAAAATAATATTTTAAGCTGTCCCAGCTAACTGTGTTTTGCATAACCCCCTCCCCCACCCACCTTTCCACCAATCATATCTCCCTGTCCGTAGGATTGCAAAATCATCACCTGGCGAAATTATTAAAATAGAAATAGCCAAGAAATGAGAACTTTAAAATAATATTTTAAGCTCTCTCAGCTGTAACTAAATTGAGCTTTGCATCCGTGTCCACCCAGACTTAAATAGGTAGCACTAACTTGTACAGAGAAGCAAATGTAACCAGTGTAACAGCTACCACATCACCCATCCAGTACCAGTACTACTGACACCACAACCACCACCACCATCACAACAACAACAACAAAAACTGTCACTACCGTCTGTGTAGGTCGGTGTAGAAAAGAGGAGTTAGCGCCGCATATTGTCGCCACGGACTATTTAGTTTGATTTTGCCCTGGACATAGGACCAAAAAAAAAACTTCATCACGTAACCAGTTTTTGTTAGAGAAGCGTCGCGGGGAGGCTAAATAAGACTAACTGGAATCGGATGTCTTTGGGCGAAAGGCGCAGATATCGCAGCCTAGCTGTAAACCACAACACAACGTGGCAACTACTCTTTTAAGGGGAAAAGAACAATTATCACCCAGCGGGGAATCGAACACCGGCCACCTGCGTGAAGGATGGAATACTTACAACTATACTACCGACTACTGAAGAGTTTAGGTAAGATATCGCATTCTAGCTGTAAACCACAACACAACATGCGAAAGGCCCTCTCGAGGGCTAAAGAAGATTACCCGTGACATGACCATTGAGCATCACGTCGCCGCTATCGCAGGCTAACTGTAAACCCCAAAACCGAAAAAGGCGTAGATATCGCAGCCTAGCCATAAACCACAACACAACGCGCCAGCCGCCCAGTTAAGGGCTAAAAAAAAAAAACTATATTACCTAGCGGGAATCGAACGCGGGTCATCTGCATGATAGGCAGAATAGCTACCAACTACGCTACCAAACACTCAAGCAAATAATGGAAATGAAATTATATAATAATGCAAAGTTCAATAAGAGCTCAGCAGTCAAATACGGCCAATAAACTAAAACAAATCCGGGCCCGCAACAAAACAAAAAATGATTTGACCGTTGCTGGAGCTATGTCGTTCGTGGTTTGTGCGATTTCTGACAAAAAATCGTGCTTGGAGTCGAAGGCAACGTCGTGTGCAAATTTGAAAGCATTCGTTTCAGTAGTTTGCGATTTTTTAGCTAACAATATCGGAAAATTATTATTTTTATTAATATAGATATAATTGCTTAAGATCCAGACAAATATTATTAACAAAAAAGAGAAGAAGCATTTTCTTTGTAAAATCCGACCAAAAATAAAACAAACATTCACAACGATTACCAAGTAGACTGACGTTCACAGAGTCTTTGAAGCCCATTTTGATAAAACAAACAATGTTGATGATATTGGTGACTGTCCCAAACACATCGACGAGCTGACACAACAGAGAAAAGCCGATCCAATCAAAGTACGTTCTTATTTCGTCACTGATTATTTTATCAATAGCACCATATTGGCTTGTTTTAGCTGCTATAGTTAGTGAAACTGATGTGTTTACAAGCATCGTGAACTTTTGATGAGTATAAATCAGATAAAACTGGAAAGCTTGGTTGTTACCGGAATCTGCCTTGCTGTATATGCGCCTGTGGAACAAATTTCAGTTTTTCTCCAGCATGTTGAGTTTGTATTCTTTCGATGTATTTTTTTTTCTAAATACGTAGATATTAATGATTTCTTTTCCAATCTTCTACACATTACGAATACACAGCAATCACGTTACCATTGCGAACTATCTCCACTTAAATGGTCAATATAATACAGGCTCTCCTCGCACGTTCTGTCTCTTTCCCATTCTTCCCATCTGTCTCCTTTCTCAACCTCTCATGTGAAGGCTACAATATAATATGTCTGTCACTGATTTCCGGATCCAATCAAAATTAAACGTCCAATCTTGTCTCAGTTAAACAGTGTTCTGTTCAGTCAGAAAATCATCATATGTGTACATGGGTGTGTGCGCGCGTGTGTGTATGTGTGTGTATATTTGTGTGTGTATGTGTATGTGTGTAAGTGTGTATGTGTGTGTGTCTGCGTGTGTGTATGTGTGTGTATGAGTGTGTATATATGTGTGTGTGTATGTATGTGTGTATGTGTATGTGTGTATATGTGTATGTGTGTGTATGTGTTGTGTGTGTGTATGTGTGTGTGGATGTGTGTTTTGTGGGTGTTTGTGGCCTTTTACTTCTAAGATGACTTTTCACGCTTATAGATTATATCTATGGTGGTAGCCCCATCTTTTCGATGAATGTAGTGAGGGGTAACGAGACAGATGAATAGTTTCTTACGGCGAGTGGCAGCCATCTCCAAAAGGAAAGTCAGGGACCATGTTTCGTTTCCATCTCTTTAACTTTTTCAGTTAAAGCTACACAGGCAATTCCTGGCTGAGTGGCTAAGCTCAAGGAATGAGTAGGAGTAGTATCTTATTAGAAGAAAAAACTCACGCCTAAAAAATAGAAACTTGATAGATAAACAAGGCTGGTGAATATATATATATATATATATATATATATATATATATATATATATATATATTATATATATATATATATATATATATATATATATATACCAGCAAGTGTAACTATACAATTTTGATTGGAACTAATACTTTCATTACGAAAGACTACAAAAAGAAAAAAAAAACACCATTATCTGTTCACAGTCACAGGATCAATAAAATTCTTGGCGGTCTCTTGAGTGTGTGTAAAAATCAAGATCATTGCATCAAATCTGTTGGAACATTAATGCCATTAATGTTTACGAAATTCAGGTGATTCCTTAAATAAAACGTAGCCTGAGTGATGAGGCTCAGATGCCCATTGAAGTTGTACATAGCAATTTTTGTTGGTTTATTTGTTCAGCTGCAGTAAAGCATTATGCCAAGTACATTTCTCAACTAATTTCGGCGCTTCTTTGATTTATTCCCCAAAATGGCGGCATGCCAGATTCTGGCCATAAAATATCCAAAAATATCCGAACGACGGTGTTCGCGTATATCTAAAATACGGACTTTCTGTCAACGAACAAATCGCGGCAAAACTAGGATTACTTGACAACCAATATAAACATTTGCACACGGTACTAGTAGCAGACGATAAATACCGACAAATTTCGAGCGTTTCTGCAGACGACGATACTAGCAGACGATATTACGCTACCGTTGACCAATTTCGAGACATTGCAGACGATGAAAGCCGATTAGCAATACTGTGTTCTTCCGATTGGAGGATTTAGCAGCGGTAGATGTCAGACTTGTCGGCATGCGCCAAACGCGATTAAACTCATCGCCGAGCGTATCTAGGTGCCTGGGACTCACGAGTACAGTAATTGGAGGAAGTTGCAGGAGATGCGGTAGCTGCCACTCGTGAGTCCCAGCCATCTAGTTTAGGCCCCATCCGCGCCGCGCGTAGCGGCGCGGGGAATACTCTCGGCGGTGAGGCACACTCGCAGAAGCAGGTCGGCAAGCAACGTATCGCCCAGACCCTGTCAGAGCATTTGTTTCGTTATTCGGAGCCGGCACATATATTTTTATTAGAACTGACCCCGCATTCGGATATTTTTGGATGTTTTATGGCCAGAAATTGGCCAATTTAGCTCCTTTTTGAACGCCATCATATTACAGCCGCCATTTTGGGGAACGATTCAAAGAAGCGCCCTAATTTCAAATATAATGAGGCAAGGGGCAGTGCTCTATCTGCCATTACCTGTCTCTTGGGTTAACAGGGTTCAGCTGTAAGAATGTTAAAGACCTGCCAAGGTGCGGTCGCCCACGATTGCCATCTGTTCATGAAAACTGATACATAGTCTCATCATATTTACAGAATCGAATGCTGCCTGCCACATGCACTGTTTGTTCCATCCCTGGCCTCTGCGGATTCAGTGCAGAAACTGCGGGGGAGCAACCTTCGAGCACTGCTGAACACTGCTGCCTAGTTACCGTGCTGCTCCACTGCAATGGGAAAGGCAATGTCTACGCTTCAATACTGTACAGTGGAGACACGTGCTGTTCGCTGGTGAGTCAAGGTCTCAACTGTTCAGGCGATGGTGGTCAGTGAGTCTACTATGGAAAGAATGGACATTATGACGCAAACAATAGCACCGAGTGGTCTATACAGACATGCAGCTTGCACCATATTCTCAACACACCAGCAGTTTTTAAACCTAACTTGTTTGCTTTAATTTTAAACTGCTAAGAACCGAACCTGGACCGCTATCCTAGCAAACAAGCACATTAACCACCACGATACCGTTACTTTCCCTTATAGAACTTATACAACCATTTAATGAGTCGATAGACGCTATCCTGACACATGCAGGTCTTAGGTACGAATATTATCTACACAGATTGTCTATACAGACGGCTCTTGTTGAGAGGCAGACGAAGCGTATGGGGTTTCAAAGCAAAAGCGAATGGACCAACCGAAGTGCAGCAAAGGCTGGCATATGATATGCTATGTAATTTGAGAATGGAGGTAAAGGCAGTTACAGCTGCCTTCCGCTGGCTTGCAAATCAGCTGTACACACATCTCGTAATTTTACTGACTCACATAGTATGTTGAAAAAGGTGGAGACAGGCATGCTTCGTAAAGAGTGGCAAGTATCGCTTTAGCGGTCCTAGATAGTTTGAATATTTTCTCTAGGTCACGCAATATGTTGGGAAACGAGCAGGTAGATAGACAGGCCCGTCCTGCACCACTTGACGTTGAACTGATGTATGACAAGCCAGATGTTGTCAGGGCCTATTGGGAGCCAGCAAACAGTCCGGAGGCAACAAACAATGATTACAGTATTGAAAGTTACCATGAGATCTGGCTGACGCTCAACCCTCATGAGTAAATGAGTGACCTATATACAGTCAGAAAGTTACTGGTACCACCAGAATAGGAACCTTTCGCTGGCTGCTGAACTTAGCACGGAGGGTTTATGGGTGCGTCCGGAGTGCCTATGATGTCGATTCTTAATTCAACATTTAGGTATGAATACACACTGGTTGGAAAAATGAATGACCATTGCTCACAAGCGACCTAGCCTAAAATGGATCCTTGAAAAAATGTTATGGAAATTAAAGGTAGCGCTATGATGTTGACTACAACAACAACCGAATACCGACTGATCTATACAAAATACAAACATACAGGTCAACCGCTATATGCCCGATCCTCCATTAGCATGAAAAGGGTCCCCTTTATTTATACATGTTTATGTTGAAATGACTTTCAGACCAGTCAATATTATTTAACATGTGGCTATGTAGCTACCTAGTATAAACTGTAGTTTACGCTGTGGCAGTCTATAATTACTTCCAGTTAATGAAGGTGCCCATTAACTAACCTACACACATTGATTTAATTTTTACACAAGAGGTCATGTTAAATAGTATATTTTTGATGACAGCCTGTGGTTAGGAAAGTACGGCGCTGTAGGGGAAGTATGGGTAATTGTTGATAATCAACAAATGTATGTCGTCCACTCCTTTCGAGTTCACATCTAAAATGCACAGCTGTTATCAGACTTAGAGGCAGCATTGAATGAAAATATGAGCAGTGGTTTAAATGATAACCTGTAATTATTTTCTTCTAGTTACTATACCGATTGTGAATACTGTTTGCGTGAATTATGTATAACTCACCATTAAACAGTTTTTAAAAAATGGGACTCATTAATGAGGCGAAATATGTCACCAACATTAAAGGAATGATAACAATTAGGATCAACAGTTGTATGCTCCATAAATGGAATAATATTGAGCTCCAGATACTTAATAATGATACAAACAGTGCAGGACACATATCTGTACGTATATTGTATGTCATTGAACTAAACATTTCTCCGTCCAGATTGAAAGTTAGTTGTAAGAAAACTTCTTCGCGAATAAATCAAGTATTTATTAAATGTGAGTTACACACAAAAAAAAAAAAAAAAAAATATCTGGAACAGTGTAAGTGTAGTGAAAAATTCGACTTGATGCGGATTTGAAGTATAGACCCTCCAGCCGGGTACTAGCCACTCCGCTACCACGACGCCCTCTTTACTGACTACTGATAATTATTCATTATATCAAGCTATTCAGCATTCTCTCCCTTGTTCTCATTCGCTAACGATATCCCAGTATTTTAGGGCTAATCATTAGTTATATATACTAACGACACTATATCAAATCTGTAATCTATACTGTTTAAAAAAAATAGTTATCTAATGGGGCGATTTTATTAGTTTGTAAATAAAATATCGTACTCAGGTATGTGAAACGCAAACTCAAATAATGTTTACCGTGTCCAGTGGACATGTGGACGTGAATTGCGTGGGTTTTTGTAAGCGTTAGAACGCACTTATCAATCTCGTTTAAGACCACATTAGGAACATGAGCATGGCTCAAGATAAGCGCACGAGAAAGGAACACAATATGGGTTGAACACAATTCACTGCCTTTGCAATTAAAACCCTGAAAAAGGATAATGCTACAACAAAACATTCCATTCGTTTTCAAAGTCACGAATGGCGCCTCTA